GCATCGCCATTGTAGCGAGGCACACCGTTGCGGCCTTCGGTAGCCGCGCCACCAGCTTCATCCTGGTCATGGGTGAAGTGGGCAAACTTCAGGCTGTCGAGTAACGTGCCAGCAGCCATGGCATATGGAGGCGCAGGGGCGTAAAGGCCCTTGGCGAAAGCGGTCTACCGCTCCGCTACCAGTGCAAGAATGCACTGGCAACGTCAAGGATGTTTTGCGCTCGCTTGAGCCAGTCGCGTTACAGCAAAGCTGTGGTCAAGGCGTCTCGCATGTACATGGCATCTGAGTGCCACCTGCAACATACCAGAGATTTCACATATTTTTTTTTTGGGGTGGGGGTTGGGTTTAGGGTTTAGGGTTCAGGGTTTAGGGTTGAGGGTTTAGGAGTAGCGTCCCCGGGGCTTGGGGTACTTTGTCTGAAGCAGCTGAGGGTTCAGGGTTTATGGCTGTGGGCTTTGGAGGTTTGGCTCGAACTGAACGGAGCTTGTGTGCCTTGTAGCGATTCATAGCTGTGCGTCTGCAGTGTAGGGCGTTAGCATTCAGGTGTTTCGGGTTGTGGGCTGAATTGCTGTTTTATGGTTTAGGGTCCCGGGTTGAAGCTTCCGGCTTGGGGTGTATAAGGCCTTCAATGAAAGCCGCAGGTACTGAACTTTAAAAACCGAGTACCTAGTAAGATTCTAATTCTAAACTGTGATTTTATGCTGCAATACAGCCGAAAAGCAAACTTAGGAAAATAGGTGCAGATAACGCAAGCCCTAGCATTTCACTTCGGATATCTATTAGTTTAGGGCTCAGGGGTTTAGGGCTTCCTATTCATTCAACCTGCTACACAACCCCAACATGGATGCAACGGGGCAGGATCCTTACCACACGGGCCCCTAAATACATGACCCCCCTAATGTTTAGAACCCCCACTGAAACCCCCCCCCCCCTCCATAACACATGTAAACCCAACAACACAGCACACCAACATCCTGACCCCCAAGCCCCAAACCCTAAACCCCCCAAAAAAAGGCACTGCGACATTTAAGTGTAAAGAAACCCTTCATCCCTAAACCCTAAACCGCAAACCCCTAAACCCCAGATCTCTAAACCCTAAACCCCTACGGGCCTCCAGAACCTTCACCTGAATCTTCGACCTTGCAAAGAGGGAGATAGGTTTTTGCTTTCGGGCTTTGGGGTTTGGGGTATGTGGCTCTGGCATTGAGGCTTTACTAATTACCTGTAGTCTCCATTGTAGTTCCTTTTTGGGGATGCCTTATAAAATCCGTAATGTATAATTGGTTAAACCAAAAGGAACTACAATGGAGATATACCTACTATATACCCTATATGTACCCTTAAGGGTCCCTAGACTCCCCCTAGACGGCCTAAGGGTCCATATTGGGGGCCCATACTTCTAATCTTAGATTTAGGCTTTAGGGTTGGGGCTTTAGGGTTTCAGGGCTTCGGGTCTTCGGGATCACGGGGAAGAGCCGAAAGCTAAGGAGTTTTGGCCTCGCACTCTCACTGCGTACCCAGGGCGCTCGTGTGTGGGGCCTTGGGGCTTCGGGTCCAGAGCGGTATTGTTTCGAGGTTATGCAGTTTCGGGCTTCGCTGTTTTCGGGTCACTCTTTGGGTGTTTGAGGGTTTACGTGTTGAGGGTTCAGCTGTTTAGGTCTAGGTGTAAGGACTCAGCGTCGGATTTAGGGCACCGGGAACCCGAAACAAGCCGGCCGGGCCCCTCTTTCAGGTCGATCTCCGTGAGCCTGCATCGTGGTGTAGGACAGGTACTGTAAGAGGCGGCTTTAGAATCGTAGCGATGCAATCACGACCACTGCGCGAAGACCCTGAACCCAAATCCTAAACCCAAGCCCAATGCTTTTGGCTTACGGATTGGGTTTAGGGCAGTAGCTGAGGCGCAAGCACCAGGTCATCATCGAGCTGCGTTCCGTCGTAGCTCACCTCGCACATTCTGAAAATGGCTTCGATCCTAGATCAAATGGGCATATCATAAGGTAAGAAAGACAGGACTAGACCAGACAAGACTAGACCAAACCAAACGAGACTAGACTACACTGACTATGCTACACTACGTTGCGCTATGCTATGCTATGGTGTGTTATGCTATGCAACTCTTTGCCGTTCTGTTCCATTCCGTGTTGTTGTGTTCTTTGCTGTGCTGTGCTACGCCATGTGTTCCATTCCGTGTTGTTGTGTTCTTTGCTGTGCTGTGCTACGCCATGCTGCTATGCTATTCCATGGTGTTCTGTGCCGACACTAGACTACACTGTACTATACCATGAGGCATTATAGAGTCCCATGGCCCATGGCCCTGAACTCGACACTCAAAGGGGCACCCAAACTCCGAACACTTCCGTTTAACCTCCAAGAAAAGCCGGAACCCTGAAGTCCCCAAAGGCCTCCATCAAGTACTCGGAGATTCCCAACTCCAAGTTCAAGACCTCAGGTCAGGCTTCACGGTCGCATGCGACAGTTAACTTTTCGTATCCCAACGTCGAAAGTCTCGGGGCTACTGCTACTCATGTTGTTAGCGTCCCTGTCTGTGTCTGCTGCTGCTGCTGCTGTCGTAGGTGCTGGTACTGGTCGTGGTGGTCGTGGTGCTTCTGCTGCCACTACCAACAACACCAGCACCACCACCACGACTACTGCTACCATCATCACCACCACCACCACCACTACTACTATTACTGCTACGAGTAGCACTACTACCACCACCGCTGCCGGTACCGCAACTACTGTCACTGCTACCACCACCACTACTTTAGTACTACTACTACTACTACTACTACTACTACTACTACTACTTCTGCTTCTGCTTCTGCTTCTGCTGCTGCTGCTGCTACTGCTACTGTGCACTACTACGACGGCGACTACTACTACTGCTACGACAACGGCGACGATGAAAAATGCTACAACTAGGAGGAGGGAGCAGAAGCAGAATGTAGGAAGGAGTCGGAGTAGGAGTAGCGGAAGGACTGGCCGAGCGGCAGGGTCGTCGTCATCCTCGCAAAACCAGCAGCATTTTCAGCAGCAGTAGCAAGAGTGGTAGCCAGCAGCAGTAGCAGCAGCAACAGCAGCAGTATTAGTGTTAGTCTGCACTATAAGAACTACCGAACTACAGCACACGAACTTCTCACCTCTTGACCAAAACCTTGCCATCCCACTCTCATAAGATGGCTGGGCACTCCTTGATGCGCTCAAGGTCACCCAGATACGCCGCTCCTCAGCGACGAACGAATCTAACAGCCTCAACAACACTCCGTCACTGTCGGCATCGACACCTCGTTGTGAGCATTTACACCAAAATGCCTCCATTCTCCAAGTGGCCGAAGAGGCCGGGCTTGCCGCCCTCTGACTGAAGCAGCTTCACGGTGCCCTGTCACGCAGACTCGCAACATGCCACCTTCATCCGGGCCCCATCTGTTCCATGCACCCTGAAGTCATCGGAGGGTCGGTCGGAGCCAAGAGCCACTTCCGGCCGTTCGGTCCTCGTAGCCGTGGAAGATCGCCAAGTCGATGGGTTTGCCTTGACTCTGTGTAAACTCGCTGGATGCTAACAGTCACGAAGGTTGAAAACACTTGGATCATGATACAGCAGTACCCTTTGGACAGCTGTGCCTGCTAACCAAAGATGTCAAATCGCGATAGAACGCTATACCTGCGTGTATACATACACATAT